CTTAACCTGATGGATATCCATAGTTTGTGTTCTCTAAAATAGATGAATGAATTCTAGGAACCACAGAAATTAAGAGTAAGAAATATTTACTGAGGGAAAGATAACTCCTCCTTGAGAAGCACAGGAGGGATAATCTAGAAAGTGTTGCCCTGGGATCCCAGTTTTCAGGCTTTTTTTAAGGAGCAAAGCCACAAGGTGAGGCGGGTACAAAGTGGGATAAACTACAGTTAACTAATAAGATCCAATGGGAAATCACAAAGTGGGTATGAATTGGGACAAAACTATGGTCAACCCATAATATCACAAGCGTAGTCGCTAAAGTAATATTGATTAAATGGGGATCAAATGAGGCAGCAAGTCACAAAGCAAGCATGCACGGAATCAGCGAGGATTTCCCCTAAGAAATAAGGCTAGGGAGATTTTGGACCCAGTTAAAGTGACACAGGCCTATTTAGAACACCAAACACTGCTATTCATCCCTAGGGAAGCATGTAACTGTAGTAGTTCCTCTTTCTTGAATCCTGGCCTTCAATAAATGGGCCTCTTTTGTCTTCTGTATTGACTCCGGGGCAGACCCACCCCTGTTTAACTGCCTAATTAGCTGTCTACAATAAATGGACTGCTGTGTGCTGGTCTGTGGGCAACACCCAGGGGCCTGGCTTCTCTGGAGTTCAGTCTTCAGAGAAAGCAGAGGGACATTTCTAGGCCTTCAGCTCTCTTTGGAATGGAGTTTCTCCAGCCCTAAACCACAGGAATTTGATCCTCTTTCTTTCTTTCTTTTTTTTTTTTCTCTCACTGAGTTTATTGGTACTTTTTAGGTATACAGTACAATTACATTCATCATTGGGATCTTGTACCTTTACATGACAGGTGGTCTTGGTTCTCATTTTTTTCCCCATCCCTGCCCTCCCTTCACCCCCTCCTCCCCTCCCTATTTACAAATACTTTATTTCCATTTTTTCATTTTCTCCTATTTTTTTCTTTTCCCTTATTACCTTTCCCCTACCCTTCCTACTTTCCCTACACATTTAGCAGCTTTTCTTCCTATTTCACATTGTCAATTATATCATTAGTTGATCCTCTTACTTGCCCCATGTTGGGACTGAAGTCACAGGACCTGCATCCACAGCCATATATATATATATATTTTTTTTTTTTTTTTTTTTTTTAAGTTTTTGAGAGCAGGTCTCAGCCATTAAATTGCCTAGACTGTGCTCAAACTTTCTATCTTCTTGCCTCAGCCTCCTAGAATCCCCCCAATACTAGCTGAATTTTAGGTTTTTCTTTTTTGGTAATGGGGATCAAACTCAAGTACTTGTGCTTGCAAGGCAGGTGGCAGAACCACTGAGGTAAATCCCTGGCAGGTTTTGGTTCTTATGACTTATTTTTGGAAAAAAACAGGCAGGAGGAGGTTGGGAGGCCAGAAAGAGGCCGGTATCTGAGGCTCTTGCAAGTGCTCTTAGAGAGGCCAGCACAGGAACCACATGGATGTTTAGACTGTATACGATTAAAAAGATGATTTGTGTTTTATTCCGAGGCAGTCAGGTACTTAAAAGGCTTTTTTTTTTTTTTAAGCCAGGCATGGTGGTGCACAACTGTAATTATAGCATTCTGGGAGGCTAAGAAAGTAAAATCACAAATTAAATCACAGCCTGGGTAATTTAGCAACATAGCCAGATTCTGTCTCAGAAATTTTTAAAACATTTAAAAAAGGCTGGAGATGTGGCTCCGTGCAAGGCCCTAGGTTCAATCCCTGCTGCACAAGGTATAGTGTGAGACACTGGTGCCACTGGTGGTAAAGAGTTTAGAGTCAAAGGCTGTAGAAAAGGCGGGAGTTTGTCACTGCTACGCAGAACAGTGTGACAGTCTAATAGAGATGGGCCATTAAGTCAGGTGAAAAACTGGGACTTCTATACTTGATTTTAACTAAGTAGGGGTGTGGAGCCTTAACTGGATCACTGTCGTAGGTCACAGTGTCCAGTTCTGTCCCGATGATGGCCAGGGCTGCTGGAAGACTGAGTAATGTTTCCTTCCACCGGGTCCAGTGCCTGTCGTGTTGCGAGATTCAGCACTTCCTTCTGGGTAAAAGTAAAGAACAAATGGGCGGGGAACGACTACTGGAGTGGTCAGGGGATCCAAGTAAAATATACCTGTCTGTACTTGAGAGGGACTTTGAAATTGTAATAGGACAAGAGGAAATGGAGTGCTTGAAGGCTGACAAGCACCCTGAAGGCTGTCAGATCACCTAGGCACTGCAGTTCTGTGCATAGCTCACAAGGTGGAAAGTTAATGGTTCCAGACTCATCGCTTGGCTGCGATGTGGCTTTAAAGCAATCAAATAAGTGTGAATCCCTATAATTTCTGGTTCTGGAAAACATACAGAAAGAGGGGGAGGGAGAGGGAGAAGAGATTTCCCGTGGGCCTAAAGCAGCTAAAGGCAGAACACAGGGCAACTTTAGTTTCAAATATTTGTCAGCTTAACATTCCGACCAATGCTTCTGAGCTCTGCATACAGATTTGTTAATCAATGGGCAGTGTCTGTTTAAAAGTTGGCCCAACAAGTTTTTTCTTTTCTTTTTTTTTTTTGGTAGTATAGGGGATCAAACGCAGGACCTTGGGCTTCAGAGGCAAGCAGCAGAACCACTGAGCTAAATCCCCAGCCCACAGCTGAGCAAGATTGATTGGCATAACATCGTCCTCCATCCAGACTGAAAATGAGGGATGGAGGAGGGCATTCAGCTGGGCCCAGAAGTCCCCCACTCTGCCCTAACCTTGCAATCACCAATTCTGGGAAAGCAGCTCCCCAGCAGTGAAACCTCCGCAGAGGATCCTGGGAAGGAGCGGTCCCTCCAGCCTTGAGGGTTTAGGAACTGGGAACAGGGGCTGAGCTGGGAACCCAGGGGCTGGCGCATGGATTCAATTTTCATAGCAGCCTCCTGCCTTTGCAGGCCTGGGACAAGCCCCTCACCAGGGCCCACTCCTCCAGCTGCTTAAACTGGGATTCTTTCCTATTTTATTCTCTTTCTCTTTTGTTAAAGGCTGGCCTGATCTTTATCCGCTGCCCATGATAAAGCTCCTTACAATTTTTCTTACCCCCCCACCTTTTTGGTACCTGGGATTGACCTCTGGACCTCGTGCTTTCCAGGCAGGCGTGACACCACTGAGCTAAATCCCTGGCCCTAACCTTTAAATTAAAGGTTTTCCTTGTAAATTTTGTGCTTTAATTTCCATAATCACTCAAGGCAAAGATCCACACTAGCCAGGGGCACGTTTTCCTTTAATTTAAATTATTCAGTCTGCCAAAGTGCTCTATTTGGGGATATTGCACTTGGAGTTCCAACAATGTAGATATTCCCAAGGCAAACCAAACCACTGTCAAGGAATCAAAGCAGAGACCTTCCAGGGTGTGTTATGCAGGAGAGCAGAATATTCCACTCCAAAACAAGTCATTTGGATTTAATAGTTATTCTGATCAAGAGCAGACAGAAAAATGTAAAAAAAAGAGTAGTACTTTTCCCTTTTGAAAGGAAAGGCCCCATCTTTATAAAGGACAATTTCTTGTGTCAAGCTGTAGGCCTTACCAGAGCGGAAGGACTGTAGGCATTCTTGTTACCTGGGGTAACTGGACCTGCATAATTTTCTTAGGTAAACTCAGTCCTGGCTTCTCTGGGTTTCGTCCCTTTTTTGCACCCGCCCCCCGCATATGTAAGCAACTTTCTCCATCTCCAATCGAAGTATTTGTAGTCAGCTTGAATTGTAGGTCCTAGCCACTAAACCTAAGACCTGGGGGGATAGGTTACCTTTTCCCTGCAATTTCCTGTACCAGAAGGGGCCCTTGGAACGTTTCTCAATGATTCAAAATTCAAAAGTTTATCTTGAGGGATTTTTTGTTGTTGTTGTTGTTTTGTTTTTTTTGTACCAGGGATTGAACTCGGGACCTTGCGCTTGTGAGGCAGTAGTCCCGAGTCAGATCCCCAGCCCTGAGATTTTCAGTTTAAAATAATACAGTAGGCATTTAATGAGGCAGACTGCTGCGTGGGTTATCAGCTGCGTGGGAAGAGGACTGCTGTAAGAACCCCGATAGCACACACGGGGGTTTAACTCTTTCCAGGTTATGTGCTTGGGTTCTCTTAACAGAAAGCTCCCTGAAAAATGAGCCTAGTCATGGAACACCAGCCTGGCAGATAAACAGTCCAAAAGTTCGCGACTCACAAATTGAGACATCTGTCCAAGTAGTAATCAGCATGCTGAAACATAAAGAGGCGAACATTTCTGACCTTCGGAGTCAGAGAAGGGGACTGGTCTGAGAAAACTGTCTAGGTCGCAATGAGGAAGGCAAGACCAGCACTCGGACGCAGGGCGTCCACTTCGGCTGGGCAACACCTCCCTTGAACTCCTCTGTGGCATTTGCGCTGTGAGCTTACCTTACTTCTAGGGGAGGTTTTCTGAGTACAGCTGATTTCCTTCAATAGAGAAAAAGGGGACTGGAGTGAACGTGAGGCGGCGTTTTCACCTGCTCCAAAGAAATGGAGGGGAAGAGCCTAGCTCGCTCAGCTTCCCGAGGCGTTTCTAAGCAGGGTGAAGAAAATATTAAAGTCACTTCGACCCACAAATGTGGCAAGTGAGGGAAGAAAAGGAAGTATCAAGTAAGGAACAGGATACAGAATCAAACTGGAGAAAAGCGAGGAAACCTACATTGCAGGCGGAAGGCGGAGTTAAACACGTAAAACAAACTCCTCACTCAATACCGCCAACACTGCTGCGCTCCTGGAGGAGGAATATGGCTCCGGCGGCAACCAGAGACACAACGATGCACTCTACAAAGACTCAGTGTCTTACCCAAAGGGGACTGCTGCAGGGATGCAAAGGGAGTATTTAGTACATTTTCCACCTTTCCTCAAAACCTGGGTGGGTCGCGGTTTGACTATCAAATAAGCAGGTTTTAGGCACCGTAGTTCTCAACCAGGTCCGACACAGCCATATATAAAACCGTGCTTGAGCCCAGTTCTTAACGTTTTCTGCTACTACAATTATGTCGGGACGCGGCAAAGGTGGTAAGGGCCTGGGTAAAGGCGGCGCCAAGCGCCACCGCAAGGTGCTGCGCGACAACATCCAGGGCATCACCAAGCCCGCCATCCGCCGCCTGGCCCGGCGCGGCGGTGTGAAGCGCATCTCCGGCCTCATCTACGAGGAGACTCGCGGGGTGCTGAAGGTCTTCCTGGAGAACGTGATCCGCGACGCCGTCACCTACACGGAGCACGCCAAGCGCAAGACGGTCACGGCCATGGACGTGGTCTACGCGCTCAAGCGCCAGGGACGCACGCTGTACGGCTTCGGCGGCTAAAGTTTCAGACTGCACTACATATCGCTTTTGAATAAAGGCCCTTTTCAGGGCCGCCCAAAAAGTCAAGCTTTTGAGAGCTGCGCATTTATACGATTTTAATGTTTGCACAAGCACTATTGTGTGAGTCCGCTGTAGTAGGGAGGACTGCCCCAACAGCTATTAAATAGTCCCATCCCAATCCTTGCAATTAGAGGAGCAAGCCCTATCTTAAGTAGCGATGCTGCAGGGCTGTGTCGTTACCAGGTAAAATTTAGCAGGAGGGATTAGCGGGCTGTTGTAAGAAATGATTTTTAGGTGTGTTCGGACTGCACCAAGGCTGGTACTTCAGGAATGGTGAACGGTGAGCCGGACACCATATACAAGTTGCTTACACTCCCTTGGAAGTTTTTCCATAAACTTTATTACTATCAAAATCCCACTCATTTAAGAATTTCCAAGGTATTTTAGATGTTCACATTGACATTTTCCTGATTGCTTTGTCCGTTTCTTAGTACAGAGGTTAAATTTCTCTTTCATGCAGGATTCACGCACGAACCAATGGCGTGCAGAGAGCCGCAATTCATGTCCAATCCGAGCTCGAGGGGCATTATAAAAACTGAGCTCTGCTGCCTTGGAGGTTTACTTTGTTCATTGCTTTCTACGGTTAAGCTCATGGCCCGTACAAAGCAGACAGCGCGTAAGTCCACCGGCGGCAAGGCCCCGCGCAAGCAACTGGCCACCAAGGCGGCCCGCAAGAGCGCACCGGCCACCGGCGGCGTGAAGAAGCCGCACCGCTACCGACCCGGGACCGTGGCGCTGCGCGAGATTCGCCGCTACCAGAAGTCTACCGAGCTGCTGATCCGCAAGCTGCCGTTCCAGCGCCTGGTACGCGAGATTGCCCAAGATTTCAAGACCGACCTGCGCTTCCAGAGTTCGGCGGTGATGGCACTGCAGGAGGCGTGCGAGGCCTATCTGGTGGGGCTGTTCGAGGACACTAACCTGTGTGCCATTCACGCCAAGCGTGTCACTATCATGCCTAAAGACATTCAGTTGGCGCGCCGCATCCGTGGGGAGCGGGCATAAATTCACCGGCTTAAATTTGTATGCTATCACAAAAGGCCCTTTTCAGAGCCCCACCATTGTCAATAAAAAAGCTGTTACTTTTTTTTTTTTAGCTGTGCTTTGTAGTTCATGTAAAAGTAAGTCCTTACACGAGACAGCTAGGTGATCCCTCTCCTACAACGAATGTGTCCGTGTACAGATTGGTGGCCTCAAAACAATTTTACTCCGTAGCTTATATTGGAGGAAGCAAGTAGTCCCTAATCTGTCCGTTTTCTTGCAAACTGCTTCAGTTACTGAGCGCACAGGTGAATACTGTTTATAGTAAAGTTGCAGATGACACTTGCTAAGTACAAATTGATGTCAAATTTTTGTGTTTTGACACCACTGGCTGTGCCATTCAGCAATGTCACCACAGCTGCTCACTGGTGTGCATGTGTGTGGGTGGCTGTGTTTAGCAACGCCTGCATATTGCAGTGCACCCAAAAAATGAGCTAAATCTTTGAGTGGAATTTAAGTTCTTTCCTTAGTTCTTTCACAATGTTTTCTATATTCTAAGTGGACTTCAATGAACTAAGTATCGCTAGGTATAAAGGCAGCATTTAAAAAGCAGTTCATAATTTTGTTCTCTTCATCTGTTCAGTTTTTTTGCCTGACCTTGCTTTTGCTGTTTACCTGAACAACTTGAAACTAGGAAATTTAAATGAGGGCAGTCTTGAGTATCCACAGGGAGAGCAGCCTCGTGCCTTCCTGTCTCCTGTTTTTGAACTGACTCCAAATGTTTATATTGTAGCAAGTTTCTCAGTTTAGATTTTTGGAAACTGGGCATTGCTTAGTGTTTTGAGATCTGGGACATAACCTCACCACAATTCAAGCTCTTGCTAGGAGCAGGGAGGAGTTCATGCTGGCCTTTCAGGACTCAGCCTTCTCTCCCACTATTTTGAGAGTTCCCACTTCAGCTGCAGGAGCTGGGCAGGTACTCAGTGTAGACCCCAGAGTTGTCAGTGACCAGCTCTAGGGTATTTGGCGGGGGTTCCTTGTTCTCTGCCTGGTCCTCCCCTTGCACAAGTCTAAAATGTGGTGGATGAACTAAAACCCGCAGAACAGAGTTAGAATTACTTCTTGTCGCTGAGTAATGTTAAGTAACTGTTAGCTCTTGTTATACTTTGACTTCTTATTCATGGGTTTTGGGGAGTTTTCTGAATCTTCTGAAGGTTTGTAACTAAGAACCATGGTAAATGCTTGGATAGAACATTATGTGTTACGCTCTCTTTTTCTTTAGATCTCATTATTCTTTGCTCTGAAGGGAACCCATAGTACCATCTGTTTGTGCATGGAGGAGTCTGAAATGCCCCCAAAGGGTCAGGTATTAAATAATTTAAGGTTTTGCAGGCCACATATGATTCTGTTATGTATTACTCTTGTTTTGTAGCAATCTGGTAAAAATGCAGACAATTCTTCACTGTAGGGTAATCAAAAACAGACCACTGCCCAGATTTGGCAGTTTATTCTAAACCTCCAGAATCTCTCATGAAGACTAAATTTTTTGATGACTTTAAATTTCCCTAAATAGCTGGGTATGGTGCCCCACACCTGTAATCCCAGTACAACTTGGGAGGCTGAAGCAGGAGGATCGCTGGGACTTTGCGACCAGCCTGGGCTACATAGTGAGACTCTGTCTCAAAAAAAATAAAAAAATAAAATAAATAAATAAAGAAAAAATCCCTAAGTAGCTTTTGACAGGCAGGAACTGGTCATTGACTTTTGAATTTTTGTTGTTATTTTAAAAGAAACATTTTCTGTTATCATATAACCCGTGTCCGCCCCCACCCCCTGGTGGGGGTGTTTGTTAGGCTTTTTTGAGACAAGTTCATGCTCTGTAGCAAGGCTGATCTTCAACTCACCATGTGGCCCAGGTTGGTTTTTAATTCAGATCAGTCCTCCTGCCTCAACCTCTGAAGTGCTGGGATTAAAAGTATGTCTAATTGTGCTTGAGTCCTCTTGATTTTAGTATAGATTTAATTAAACCTTTTGATCTACCTTTACTCATACGGGCACAAAAATCCTAATCATGGTAAACTTCACACTTCTCCCATTCTCACCTCATGGTCATTGCTGTTATGTTTTGCTGTGAGCTTTTGAGCCTCTGAAACACTCAATACTCATTCTAAGCTAATGATCACTATATAGTTATTGTAAAGCATGGGCCTGGGCCGTGAGAAAACAGAGGAACACACATATTGACTGCCCTGGCTGATCCCAGAACAAATTCCTAACTGACTAACGAAATGCAGTAAGAGCTCTGTGGGAAAAACTTCTACCCCTATAAGTACAGTCTTGCCCATACAGTCTTCCTACCTCTGCTCTAGAGAATTCTTGAGCGATTTTCTGAAGGTTTTAGGCTTTTTTTTTTCTAAAGCAAATTATCTTTATTAAGTACTTTTCAACCCTGTTTTAATAAATTCGCTCTTGAGGTAAAGTGAGAAAGCAAGTCAGCCAGAAAATACACATTTAAAGTCGAGTTTGAGTGGTTGGATTCCTAGGTCAGGGAGGGCTGACTTTCCCACTTTGATGTGAAGGGCTATTCTGACAGCTGAACTTTACCAGGTGTAAAATCAATTGTTCTACAAATACACCAGTACTTGAAAACTGCTAAAAGGCAGAACCGGTTTAAAAGTAGACTTTATGTTGCTATTTTCAGGCTGTGAGCAACCACCCTCCCTGTGCCTGTGTTACTTGCACAGTTAGAAACAAAGTTTATTCCCAAGTCAGGGAATATATTGTGTTCCCTCTTGCAAATATCAAACCCCAAACCTTTGGACAAGTCCTTTTAAATAATATTCCTCGAATACATAGTAGAAGTTTATTGCAATATACAACTGAGTAGCAGGATGCCTTCAGAATGCAGGATTTTTCGAAAGAATCCAAAGAAGTTTTCAAAGTATCTTTCACTAATTGCGTGGGATTACAAAAAACACAAATAAGTGTGTGGACCTGGAGACTGTTCTCCTGCTCTGGAGCCTCAAAGCTCAAAATTCTGTTCTTTGGTTTTCAGGATTTAATCAAATTCTTGGGACTAACAAACACACTTCGGGAGTTCCGGAGCGAGCGGCTACGGCCGAGGGTGGTGGATCGGCAGCTCCAACCAATCACAGGCCAGCGCCGCATTATATAAGGCTCGGGCAGCCCGAGAGAGCACTGCGAAACCTACTTCCAGATCGAGTTCTCTTATCCTCTTTTTATATTGCCATGTCGGAAACCGCTCCCGCCGAGACGGCTTCGCCGGCTCCTGTGGAGAAGTCTCCCGCCAAGAAGAAAACCGCAAAGAAGGGGGCCGGCGCGGCGAAGCGCAAGGCCACCGGCCCCCCCGTGTCAGAGCTCATCACCAGAGCTGTAGCCGCCTCCAAGGAACGCAATGGTCTCTCCTTGGCCGCTCTGAAGAAAGCGCTGGCGGCCGGAGGCTACGACGTGGAGAAAAACAACAGTCGCATCAAGTTGGGACTCAAGAGCCTCGTGAGCAAGGGTACCCTAGTGCAGACTAAGGGCACTGGCGCCTCTGGCTCCTTCAAGCTCAATAAGAAGGCGGCTTCGGTAGAGGCGAAGCCCAAGGCAAAGAAGCCGAGCGCGGTGAAGACTAAGAAGCCTGCGGGAGCGACACCCAAAAAGCCCAAAAAGGCGGCGGGCACCAAAAAGGCCGTGAAGAAGACTCCGAAAAAGGTAAAGAAAACGACAGCGACTGGCGTCAAAAAGGTGGCAAAGAGTCCCAAAAAGGCGAAGCCCACTGCCAGGCCAAAGAAGGCGGTGAAGAGCCCTAAGGCAAAACCTGTAAAGCCAAAGGCGGCCAAGCCCAAGACAACCAAGACGAAGGCGACAACTAAGCCCAAAGCTGCTAAAGCAAAGAAGGCAACCTCCAAAAAGAAGTAGAAAGTTTGTGCGTGCGAACCCACACGACAACCCCAAAGGCTCTTTTCAGAGCCACCTACAAATCTTGCAGAAAGAGCTGCGCTTAAATTATTGGCACATATAAAGAGGGTCACAACTCCTTAAACTTTTGAATGGCTCTGAAAAGAGCCTTTTGGTTTACCGGAAGTTGAATTTCCGGGACTTCACTTGCCCTTGGCCTTGTGGTGGCTCTCGGTCTTCTTGGGCAGCAGCACGGCCTGGATGTTGGGCAGCACGCCGCCCTGCGCGATCGTCACCTTGCCCAGCAGCTTGTTGAGCTCCTCGTCGTTGCGGATGGCCAGCTGCAGGTGGCGCGGGATGATGCGCGTCTTCTTGTTGTCGCGCGCCGCGTTGCCCGCCAGCTCCAGGATCTCGGCCGTCAGGTACTCCAGCACGGCCGCCAATTAGTTGCCCTTGCGCAGCAGGCGGTGCACGCGCCCCACCGGGAACTGCAGCCCGGCGCGGGAAGAGCGCGTCTTGGCCTTGGCGCGAGCCTTGCCGCCCTGCTTGCCCCGTCCAGACATCGCGAGAACTCCACCAGTACTCCCCCACCAGTGGTCCGAAACTGACAGAGGTGCTCTTTATAGCATCCGCGGAGAGCGAAAAAAGAGCCCTGCGATTGGGCACGTTTCATTTTCGTGTAGACCAATGGGAAGAGGCCGTGCGGCGCGGATTGCGTACGTTCATCGCGCGTACGGGAACGTGACGTCACAGAAACGCAAGCACCAATCGCCGGGGAGCTTCTCTGCGCCCCATTTGCATATCTCCTTCTAGTTAAATCCGCGCAGAGGGTGTAGACGTTTACTTTCCTCCTCCCTGTTACGGCTCTGTTTCCAAGATGCCCGAGCCTTCCAAGTCGGCCCCGGCCCCGAAGAAGGGCTCGAAGAAGGCGGTGACCAAGGCGCAGAAGAAGGACGGCAAGAAGCGCAAGCGCAGCCGCAAGGAGAGCTACTCGGTCTACGTGTACAAGGTGCTCAAGCAGGTGCACCCGGACACGGGCATCTCGTCCAAGGCCATGGGCATCATGAACTCCTTCGTCAACGACATCTTCGAGCGCATCGCCGGCGAGGCGTCGCGCCTGGCGCACTACAACAAGCGCTCGACCATCACGTCGCGGGAGATCCAGACGGCCGTGCGGCTACTGCTGCCCGGCGAGCTGGCCAAGCACGCCGTGTCGGAGGGCACCAAGGCGGTCACCAAGTACACCAGCGCCAAGTGAGCGCGCCCGTGCGCCGCCTGCGCTCGCCCTAAAGGCTCTTTTCAGAGCCACCCACTCTTTCTAGAAAGAACTGGTACTGTTTCTCTGAATGAGATCCTTAACTTTAAAAGCTATGAATTTTCCTTTTAAACTTTAGTCCATCTGTGTTCATGCTATAGCACACTTCCTTGTAGTAGTCATACGTCACAGAATCTGTAGGAAAAGTTTAACCTTTGATTCCTCTGTAAATCTTTTTAAGGCAATACCTGGTTGAGCGAGAACTCTGTTCGACCGATTTTTTTTCTATTCATTGTAGAGGTGCAGATAGGTTCAGCTTCGTTTTCAGTGAAGTCAGTTTTCCTTTTTATGTGCTTTTCCTTTGCTATTTGGATAATGAACAGCTTGAGATAATCCTCTGGATTGTACAGGCATTGACAGCGTGTGAGTCCATGGCCATATCAGATTGCTCTATTGCTGGCCATTTCTGTGTGGTCGGTGCCATACTTGCTGTGGATCACTTTATTTTTTCTAATAGGAATATTTTTTAAAAATAGAGCAGAGGATCTTCATGGTGGTCACACCCACACTCTCAAAATCGGTCACTTCATTTTAATTCTTTAGAAATGGCATCTTTAAAAAAATCTGGGTCTTTGGCAGTAGTCAGCTCCAGAACACTTCTACACTGAGGCCCCTTTGTTTATTTTTCTTTCTCTCTCCCTGAAGGTTTTTGGTTGCACCTTTTATGCAGTTAGGGTCTTTCTAAGCCTAAGGCTGGCTCCTAGGTGTTCACATGAGCAAGCCCTGCACACGTGCACCGTAGTGCACAGGCACACCCAAGGCACCAGAAGCTTCAGCGTGGTCAGTAACTGCACTGGCGCTGCTGGGACAGCACTGAACCCCTGCGGTGGCTGAGTTTCAGAAACCTGATTCTCAGCATTATGCTGGACAGCATCTTATAAGACTAAACAAAACTAAGTTATGTAGTATCTAAGTATAATCACACAAATTACCTCAAACGGACAAATGAATGCACTTTAAACCGTGAAGCATATTTTTTATGGCAATAAACAAGGGGATGGGAAAAACAAATTTGCGTGCTGCGGAGTCTCAAGTTTGGCCTTGGGTGTTTGATGAAATGTGCATTAACATATTCCCTGTATATAGCAAGAATTCTATTGAAAATATGTAATACAGTAGGAAAGCCTCTTTGTATAAAAAGGTAAGCATGACCTGGTTTGCATAAAGAGAAATGTACAAATTAGAACTCCACACCTAACAGTGTTTCTCTATGGAATGGAAGTATCTTTTAGGGAGAAGCAAGAGAAACCGGCCATTAATAAGGATCAGGGACCTGTATGGGGGGTTGCGACATGGTAATCCCAACACAGGGTGTCTGGGGCAGGAGGATCATAAGATTGAGCCCAGCCTGGGCAATTTAGGGAGATCAAGTCTCAAAACTTAAAAAAGTGCTGGGAGGTGTGAAGGGCTGGGCTTAAATTCCTGGTATGGAAGGTGAGGGAATGATGGAGCCTATGGATTCAGAAAACCCAAGCTTTTGGCTAAAATTAGCAATCAATAGCCAATATCCTGTATTCTGGATCCTGAGGTCAAGACAGAGCTTTCCTGGAAAAATAGTTCTGATTCCCAGAAAATATTTGAAGGACCCTGATGGGGCTCCACTTCAGCTGGTTACTTTATGTTATTTGCCATGCATAATCTGTAGTTAGCACAATATTGACAATTCACGCCTGGGGAATTGCAGTCAATCAGATGCTCCTCCTCCTGCTCCCTGGTCCCTCTGAGCCCCTACTCACCTTCAGAAGCCCAGCTGTCACCCCGGGGCCCTTCCTGAACTGGGCACTGTCCTTCTTCCTGTCCTCCATCTTGCTGTGGGCCCCCATCTGCTTAGCTTTCACCAGCTCTTGGTGACAGCCCTCTGGCCCTCGAGTGTGTGCATGTGTGTGCTATTCTTGTGTTAAGTACTTGTGTGTGTGTGTGTGTGTGTGTGTCCCTCCGCCAAATTGTGAGACAGACTTTATACTTTTGTATTTATGCATCTTTCCCACGTACCACCACCATTTGAGGAGTGCGAGTTCACAACCCACCCACTCCCCACACGTTAATTTTAAAACATTTTACACTATTCTTCGTGATACATGTGGCATTGATCATCTCCGTTTAAGCAGATAACCAGTGGCAGATTCTATAATTGGTTTATTTTCCAGAGTGAGGAATACAGCATATAAAATCCGAAGCAAAGAGGATTCAGAGGGATTAAATTATGTAAGCAGATTCACTGGGCCAGAATAAAGATTTCAGAGATTCTGCCCATGACCAGGACACACCAGGAACGCAGATATGGGTGTATCTGTGAGTTAGTTTTGTTCTCAGGAGTTATTTGCGTGAATGGAATTGTCAGCAGGGATGACGTCTGGAAGAATGTAGGGGACAAAGAAGGCACAAGTGGCTAAACTGCAGATCGGAAACAATACACTCTGAAGTAATTTGTGGCCCCTCTATAAAGGGTTGACATGTCATGTCATTACTCCTCATTATTTAGAAAGTTCAAATTTTGAAACACAGACAGAGGAAGAGAAATAGGAACAAAAATGTAGATTTTATTAGTTTTTTGTCTTGAGAAAACAAACATCTAAACTGTTGCTGAATAATCTTGATGGCTTTATACCATTGTTGATCAATTGGCCTTGGGAATTGATTTGAGCCACTCCAAACTAGCATATTGCTTTATTTTCCACAGTGCCTTAGCAGTGTTCCTGTCACTGGTGAAATAAATACCTGATACCAGTTAAAGCAGAGGTTTATCGGGACTCAAGTTTTTTTGAGGGTCCAGCCTAGAGTTGTCTGGGTCCAGAGAAGAAATGGTGGAAGGGCCTAGAGAAGGTATGAGCTCCCAGAGTGGCGGCCAGGAAGCAGAGAGAAGAGAGGAGCAGGATGGGAGATGAACCCCGAATGGCCCAGTGACCCCTCCTAACTGCACACTTAGCTGCAGAATTCAGAAATGGGTGAATCCATGAGAAGTGTAGCACCCCACAACCCAATCATCTTCCAAACATTGGAGACTTTGGGGGAACATTTTAGACATAGACCATGACACCCTGGTATGCCTTGTAGCTTCAAGAATGCACATAATTTGCCCCAAATATTTTGTGTCAATATCTTTTCACTTCAGAATAAGTTGTAGGACAGAAAGGAACACACTAGAACATAGAGTCAGAAGAGAGACTCTGATCTAGAGGATATTTCTCCAGCCCTACACTGCTGCCAGAATATATGATCCTTGTCCAACCTAGGAAAGTTTATTTTCCTTACTGGAAACGCAGCACACCCTGCCATGCAGATGGAAGTAGTGTGCTGACAGAACAGGACTCGGAGTCACTGATTCCTTAGGGGCCCTGCACTCTGTCACCCCTCAGTTATGACTTCGTTTTTGGCATGTTACATTAATGTGGTCAATTTAGCTGAATTATATTTTAGTTTACATCACGCATATCTCATCATCCACACTCTTCCAAGACGTCTAGGATATGTGCTTCCTGCAGACAACCACTTTATCAATTTCCTAACACTTTAAACTTGTCTGTCAGGTTGGTCTTTTTGATTCTGTCATCAAATCAGAAAGGTGGTTCTTCTTGGGAGGCTACAAGAAGTATAGAAAAGAGTGGCAGCAAAGCAGAAAATGAATCAAAATGAAACTCAGTGAGATTTTTCCAGACTGGAATAATGATTAAAAACTTTCTTTTGCTTGACATGGTTGCACACCCCTGTAACCCTGCACGCAAGAGGCTGAGGCAGGAGGATTGCTGTGATTTTGAGGTCAGCCTGAGGCTACATAGTGATTTCAAATCTAGCCTTAACTAGGTAGCAAGAGTCTGTCTCAAGCCCCACCCCCATTCTATGAGCTCTTACAGAGTAGAACGCACACTTCGGTATTCCAAGGGGTCAGTTTACCTGTGGGATTCGACCTAGCAACTTTCACTGTGGTCCTGAGAAGGGAAAACTGAGTGAGCAGAGCTGATGGGGACAGAGTGTGAGGGCACTACAGGCTCAGGAAGGAAGGACGACCCCAACCAATGTCCTACAGGGTCATATTGCAGAGAAGTTCTTTGTAAAACTGATCTTTTAAATGGAGAAATTAGGAAATATAAAAAGGGAGCCCTGGGCCATAAGGGTGCTCATTTGAGGAGAACCTTTAAATCTAGGACACACTTTAAATCATTAGGAGCAGAGACGGGGGCCTCCGGTCACCTCGGTCACTGCAGTTCAGCTCATTTACAGCTGCGCAGCCTCCACAGGGAGAGAGACGATGAGCTAACAACTCAGTGGGCAATTGTTGGAACTGAGGATGGATATCTTGTATTTTTCCTTTGTAATCATTTAGGACCAAGTAACTGGGAAAGCGAATTTAGTGCTGGCATGTCTCAAAGGCCTAACACTAATCTTCTCTCTTATTTTCTCTTTTTAAAGTTAGTAACAACAAATCTCAGACTCAGAGTAGAAGACAGCAAATAGTGTATAACTAGAATTAAATAATATTGCCTAGGTGTGGTGGTACACACCTACAATCCTAGCACTCAATCAGGAGGCTGAGGCAGGAGCATCACTGTGAATTCCAGGCCAGCCTTGGCTATATAGTGAGTTCAAGGCCCACCTTAGTTACATAGTGAGACCCTATTTCAGAAAACAAAAATAAAAACAAAACAAAACAAAAAGCCCCAAATTGAAAAATATCTTTATTTTGTATTATTGTCCTCTGTTTATGGTCAGATGTAGAAATGTTCAGTAATGTAAAGGCCTTTAAAATAAATTGATTCGATTTTCTACAGAGTACAGTTAAAAAAGATTACTAATAATGTAGATTGCACTCACCTACCACAAGACTAACCATGATGAAAATGGTAGTTTGAACACTACAACATATAATCATAAATGGTAAAGCAAAGTCCTTTTATTTTATATGACCTTTATGAATTATGTATGTTACATGAATAAAGAAGCTATGCTATACTTAACATTAACTGTACCTGCTATAGGGAAACACAAATACTCTGTACAGTGACAATCCGGAGTTTCTTGAAAGAAGCGTTACAAAATTCAACCTTGAAAGAAAGGATCTCTGAGACTTGGTGTAGTGTCACTGAGCCCTGAAACACGTTACCCCGAAATGCAGCAACTTGTGTATGGTGGAAGTATTTATTACTGGCCAGAGTTCCCTGTACATACACACTCCTGCAGCCTGTCTGGCTGCGCTGGGCAAGGAGCTCCTGTGCACGATGGCCCATCCCGGTCCTGCCAACCATTTTTGGAAGCCACGGTGCTCGTGCGACCCCTGTGGGCTCGGCCGGGTCCGTGTGGGGGCCGCACCTCACAGCACAGAGCGCGCATCCTGCAGGCCACCCTGGCGCTACATCCCAGGTCCAGGAAATCAGATCTGGTGGCCAGGTCCTGTTGTCTGGAAAGTCCTAGCAGTGTTCCCGATGCCTGACCGAGGACCCCTGGATGGAAGAGAGTGAAAAGTGGAAATAAAAAACTAAGAGATAAAGGGAAGGGCATTTAATTGTTACTTAGTTATATGAATAGGATACGAGGCAAACGTCCAGAGGGTTCACTGTCTTGTCTAAAGAAGGGTGAAAAGCAGGTCTGATGCTCAGGAAGGGGGAAGAACTGTGGGTTCAGGAGTGGACGCGTGTATCAGGGCCGTGAGCTCAGCCAGAGTGTCTTCAGTCAGAGGCCCGACGTCCCCAATCCGACATGGCTTCACACTTGCTGATTCCCCCACAGGTAACTCTGGATCCGGAGGCTATTGAGAGGGCATTAATCTGAACAAAAGCTCAGCCCAGTGCCTTCTTGCTGGGATTCTTAGGCAAAATAAAATGCCAGGGATCGCATGCCTAACCCCTCACAAGCCCATCATCGGATGGAATGTCACAGACAAACACACACGTGCAGCAACGTTAAGAATTCTGAATCTCTGGCCACGCAGTCCAGAGCACCGTAGTGCCCCACAAGGTCCCCCGCATTCTGAAGCCACTGCCCAAAGCTCCAGCCCAGTCGCGCGGCTGCTCCTGCCATTCCTCCGCCTTCCAGCCTAAGTACCCGGCTCCGCCCCGCTCTTTCCCACCTGCAATAATATCACAGCGTCGCACCACATCTTCGCTCACATTTCACCTGCTTGATTAGCTTTCAGTGGCTCTCATTTAAGATGGAAAATACAAGACTGCTCGCTCTTTTTTCTCCCAAACCTTCTATATTATCCAATACTCTCCTTAAAAGTATGTTTTCCCCCTATAGAAAATAAAGTCTGTGACTTTTTGTCTACTTGTTGTTACATTTGTCATACCTCCTATGACTTTTTGCCTATTTAGTTCTTGTTACATTTCTCATTCTTCAAAGAGCTCCTAGCATGATCAGTTCCTCCTGAAGGAAAAAATACACTGGAAAATACCACAGTCGACACTGTATGGGCTGAACTTTGAGGCTGCTTTATGAGTACAGTGTCCCAAATCTTTAAATTCCAAACAGTCACATAATGTCCACAACAATGCTCTGATCCCTGGCTTTGGGTCCTGGCTTTCACTGACACAGGCCGGCACGCTGCTTTTAGGCAGGCTTCCCAGGTGAGTTCTGAGCCCTATGACAGTGAAGACTGACTTGACATCCTCTGAAAAACAAACGTGAGGAGGGAGAGGGGTGGGGGAAGCTTGGTCACAGGCAGGAATGGGAAGTCCTGCTGAGAAGCTGCTGCACAATAAGGAGATTATACGTAATCACTGGGTCAGGGTATTTCACAAAGCTAGAAGGCAGGGTTCACAGTATCTTCACTGTAAAGATATGATTTAACTTTTGAGGACATACATTTACCTTTGAACTGATTTAAATATTACAGAGTATATGTGTCATGAAATATCACAGGTACCCCACCAATATCTGCAACTTTTGTTTTTATGTATCAATTAAAAAGAAATTGAAACAAAGATTTTTTAAAAAATTTAAAGAGACCAACACAGGAGGGAGAATGCCAATATAACAAATGGAACCGGAAAAACAAATTTGTACAGTCCACAAAGCAATTTCCAACTTATAAATGCATTTCCTGGTTATTCCAAGAAACAACTGTCCTGACATTCTGAGGTGGCCACATGTTTCAGAGGTTTCTCTCATTGCAAATCTGGGGACCAATTCAGCCCTCACAGGAGGACAAGAACAGCAGAGACAGCTAATGTTGGCTGAGTAAAAGACTAGACAGAAATGACGTTTTTAAGGTTCTTGGTAATAGAAAATACATATGGAAAGACAGATTCCAGCTTGCACACAGGCAGCGTGTGTGTGTGTGTGTGTGTGTGTGTGTGTGTGTGTGTAAAGTTAAAACAGGAGGATGAAACCCTGGAAAAGCTTCAAGGAGATGACACAGCTCAGCATGATGGGCACAGCCTATGATCCCAGCAGTGTGGGAGCTGTGGCAGGAAGACTGAAAATTCCAGGAAACTTCCAGCCTAGCAGGAAAGAAGGAAGGGAAAGGTGGGAAGATGTTTTCATGGCTTTGAAGGACAGATAGGACCTGGATGATGAGGAACAGGGATTTTACAATAATGGGGAAGGTACATTTCAGGAAACAGGAACGTAACCAGCGGCCTATTTATTCACTTCATCTGCATCAGGGCTTATCGCAGATCCAATGCGGGTTAAACCAGTGAAGAAACGGTCTGATCATGGGCCCTTAAGAATTCCACAGGCATTGCCAGTCACTTTCTGGACAGTGAGGGAACTGTCAATGGCTTTGGCTGCATTTGGCTTAGTTCTGTCCTTTGCTTACTAAGCTGAAGTAAGACTAGTTTTGCGCTGTTTATTCTCACAAGCCCATCTGAGGCTTCCTGCATTCTAATGAGAAAAGATTGATACTTACAAAAGCAATGGAAGAAAAGCTTGGGCTTTTCCACTGTAGCATCTGATGGTCGGTAGGATATTAGGACTTGTACGTCTATTTCCACACTGATTTGTGGAAAATGGTAACAGGATTCCACCAGTCTAAATATCTAAACACCAGGAAACGTCATTCTCTCTTGAATTAAAAAAAAAAAAAAAAGCTTTCTGATCTTTTTACTTTTCAGAGTTTGCCTTGTTTATTATTTTCTCCTTCTTACAGTTAAACATTAAGAAAGACAGTAAAATAAAATGTGGTGCTGGCTCAGAAAAAAAATCTTGATTCTAAATACTTTCGATGAAAAATTCTGGCCATGGGAAGAGTACAGAGAAATGCCAACCCTTAAAGGGGTAAAGACAAGGTGATAGAGAAGGTAGAATAAGGTGATATCTTCAATTAGACGAATTCAAAAGACAGGAATTCGGAGGAATACCAGTAGCAGTCTACTCAGGGTTCGTTAACTGCAGCAAGGGACTGCTAAAATCCCAGCGGCCAGCAATAGCACCTGCTGGACAGCGAGGACTTTATCACCCTTCACCTATTAGAGGACGATTGCTTCTGGTGGAACTGCACTCCTATTAACGCGGCGAAGTCACTGGAACACAGTAGGTCTAGAGGGAGATAAAACTGAAACTTTGCTAAAAATGTATGCGCTTGCCATTAACATCACCTTGAGAGGCCCAAACTCATGCTGTAATGTGGAAAACGAAGACTTGCTTCCACTGACGATAGGTGTTCACTATAATAGACTTTTGAAATTTGGCAGTCATTAACCATAATGTCTATCCTGAAATTAAAACCAAGAGAAAAACTAATACATGAGGTTTGTCCTATTTCAAGAGGTCAGAAAAAAACGGCTTTGGCATATGCTAAGGGCAATGATAGGGTTTCAGGCCTTATTCTTCAGGAGATAAATTCAGTGCCAGTTCTCTTTAGAAAAGAGTGGGCGGCTCTGAAAAGAGCCTTTGGGGCGAGTGCAGGCAGCGCACGGGCGCGCTCACTTGGCGCTGGTGTACTTGGTGACCGCCTTGGTGCCCTCCGACACGGCGTGCTTGGCCAGCTCGCCGGGCAGCAGCAGCCGCACGGCCGTCTGGATCTCCCGCGACGTGATGGTCGAGCGCTTGTTGTAATGCGCCAGGCGCGACGCCTCGCCGGCGATGCGCTCGAAGATGTCGTTCACGAACGAGTTCATGATGCCCATGGCCTTGGACGAGATGCCCGTGTCCGGGTGCACCTGCTTGAGCACCTTGTACACGTAGACCGAGTAGCTCTCCTTGCGGCTGCGCTTGCGCTTCTTGCCGTCCTTCTTCTGCGCCTTGGTCACCGCCTTCTTCGAGCCCTTCTTCGGGGCCGGGGCCGACTTGGAAGGCTCGGGCATCTTGGAAACAGAGCCGTAACAGGGAGGAGGAAAGTAAACGTCTACACCCTCTGCGCGGATTTAACTAGAAGGAGATATGCAAATGGGGCGCAGAGAAGCTCCCCGGCGATTGGTGCTTGCGTTTCTGTGACGTCACGTTCCCGTACGCGCGATGAACGTACGCAATCCGCGCCGCACGGCCTCTTCCCATTGGTCTACACGAAAATGAAACGTGCCCAATCGCAGGGCTCTTTTTTCGCTCTCCGCGGATGCTATAAAGAGCACCTCTGTCAGTTTCGGACCACTGGTGGGGGAGTACTGGTGGAGTTCTCGCGATGTCTGGACGGTCAGGGAGGTAAAGCTCGCGCCAAAGCTAAATCTCGCTCTTCCCGAGCCGGGCTGCAGTTCCCCGTGGGCCGCGTGCACCGCCTGCTCCGCAAGGGCAACTACGCCGAGCGCGTGGGCGCCGGCGCCCCCGTGTATTTGGCGGCCGTGCTGGAGTACCTGACGGCCGAGATCCTGGAGCTGGCGGGCAACGCGGCGCGCGACAACAAGAAGACGCGCATCATCCCGCGCCACCTGCAGCTGGCCATCCGCAACGACGAGGAGCTCAACAAGCTGCTGGGCAAGGTGACGATCGCGCAGGGCGGCGTGCTGCCCAACATCCAGGCCGTGCTGCTGCCCAAGAAGACCGAGAGCCACCACAAGGCCAAGGGCAAGTGAAGTCCCGGAAATTCAACTTCCGGTAAACCAAAAGGCTCTTTTCAGAGCCACTGACTTTTATCATTGAGGGTTGCTGTATTACGATACTTTTTACTTGCGTATTCGTTTAGGTATTGGATCGAACTCTGGACCTTATGCTTGCAAGGCAGGCAGCGGAGCCACTGAGCTAAAACCCTGGCTATTCCATACTTTTAAATTGCAATTCCAAGAGGTACATAGGTCTTTATACTGGCTTTAGCAAAGAAAATTGTGATTGAGTTACGATTAGTGCTATTTTTCCAGTCAAGAGTTTCAACTTTTTAAAAATTTGATGAAAGTTCACTTAAACTATGTTAATCTGCCATACCTTTATTTGGACACTGGTGCTCAAGCTGATCCGGATAGAAAATAGCTCTCCCAGGATAATTTTTTTTCCTACGAAAACCCATTGTAAAAGCTGTGATAAGTGTGCTTGGGGTTGCATTAGAAAGAATGTATTTGACCGTGTTTCTCTGCATTGCCAATATGGAAGACCCATTTGAGACCCCCTCGTGCCTCAGGTGCTTTCCTCATTCCCCATTCTTATTTTCCAATAAATTTCCCTACTCACAAAAGAAGGAAGAAAAAAGATTTTACCTGCCCTGTGCCTGTAACTGTAACCCCAGCATTTTAGAGGATGAGGCAGGAGGATGGCCAAGTTCAAGCCATCCTGGGCTACACAGTCAATTTAAGACTGTCCTGAACTACAGAGACCCTGTCACAAAAAAATAAAATTATGAGAAGCACTGATAGGTTTCTATCTATGTAACTGCTCTCTTCCTTCCCGGTTATCAGATTACTCAATAAACGTGGCCAGGGTGAACCTGTTTCCACATGAAGTACTGGTTTCCCTCTTGGAGACATTAATTAAAATGACTTTGTATAAACATTCTGTACCCATTTTCTCACTTAATATCGCATTGTTTTCTATATTTGCACTTGTAGGCAAACATTCCTTAGAACAAGAGCACATCACAATAGGACAATATTCCTTTGTGTACTTTATATTCTGTACCCATTTTCTCACTTAATATCGCATTGTTTTCTATATTTGCACTTGTAGGCAAACAATATTCCTTAGAACAAGAGCACATCACAATAGGACAATATTCCTTTGTGTACTTTCAAAAAATAATTGCTTGCTTTTGAAGTATCTAAATTCTGATTTCAGTAAATTCTTTTTCCTGTTTCCTATGTCTATCTCATTTCTACTCATTTGTTTATGGGTTTTTTTGAGGCAGGATGTTGCTATGCAGTTCAGGCTAGCCTTGAACTCACTGTGTAGCCCAGGCTGGCCTCAAACTCATGGCCACAGTTTTGCAAGTGCTGGGATTACAGGCGTGTGCCACACGGTTTGATTTCAGTAAATCTAATTTTCAAATTGTTTGCTCCTCAAATCATCTGTATTAGCCGGCGTGGCGGTACACACCTGTTATCCTAGCACTAGTCTCGAACTCACGACAATCCTCCTGCCTCAGCCTCCCCAGTGCTGGGATTACAGGCAAGCACAATCACACTCCTTGGCGTCCTTTAGGTTTTAAGGGAAATAGAGAGTTTGATTGCAGGTGAACGTAAACTGCAGGAGGCAACTAAAGGTCAGAGGCAGCAGCGGAGCAGCAAGGACAGTGGGGAGACTGGCGCCCCTTCGTGTCCCTCTGAACCCAACCGCAGGGACCCATGAAGGACAGCGCTGTGTGGCAGCCGCGGTTCCCCAGTTGAGCAGCCGCTGATCCGCCGCAGAGCTGCCTCGGGCCGGGAGCTCCTGAGGTTTGGAGCGCTGTTCGCATCCTGGATCTTCGAGGTCCCCTACGCAAAAGCCAGCGAAACTGGTTATCCGGCTGGTTTCCGTACAGCTCTGGCTTGTTCTCCTCACGTGCCTCTCGACGAACTCCTCCACCTCCTGGCCGGTTCCACTCCTGTCTCAGCTCGGTGTCCGCTGTGCCTCCGCTGGTCCCGCAACACCCCCCACAACCCTCGCTCGCCCTGCACCTGGTGCTGCCGAGTCCGCGAGAGTAGGGAGGCTCCCTGTGTGGGCGCAGGCCAGCCTGCTCCTGTCTTTCCTCTTGGAGACCACGGGTGGTCTTGGACACGCCTCACGCCATGGCCATGGCAGAGGTACCTGCCGACTGCTCCCTGCTGTGCCCACCCAGTTGTCCTCCCTCATCACTGTGTGTCCTCAGTGTCAACCACCCGGAAAGTCAGGGTTTAAGGGTGGAGTTGGGCTGCCACAGCACGGTCCCTGTGCCGCTTGTTTCTAAGCGACTCTGTGGGTTGATCTTGAAGCAAATACTATTTTGTGTGCTTTTGACAATTTTTAAACTGATTATAATGATGTGAAGGGAGTATTGATCTATTTTGATTCATAGCTTGTTGAATGCATGTAAAACAAGCAAAAATGAAGCTTGCTCAACCTACTTGCAATGACTGATGCAAAACCAAAGGAGTGAAAACATATTTTGCAATGTGTACCACCAATACACTGTAGCTGGGAGTGGTGGCACATGCCTGTAATCCCGCCACTTGGGAAGCTGAGGCAGGAGGATTGCTGAGAGTTGGATGGGAGCCTGTGCTCTATAGTGAGTTCAAGGCCAGCCTAAATTACATTAGCAAAACCCTGACTTAAACAAAAGCAAACAAAAAACTAATGCACTGTATAATGTAGAAGTCTTAAATTCGTAAGTGTTAAAAGTGTATTTCCTCAGAGAGCACCTGATTTACATGAGGTGATTTTGCAGCCTTTGGGGGTTGATGTGTGCAGCCAGTTAGGGAGGTGGCTTTAGTTTTCAGTGCCCTGTCTGTGGCACTGACTGCACCAGGAGGAGTTGCAGAGAAGTGGAGAGCAGGGAGGCCACAGCTGGTTACAGCTCTCCCTGTCTTTCTGTTCCACCTTGCAGGGAGTCTGGCACAGGGACCATGAAGATCATTATGAAACATTCAGGTAGTGTTGCCAGGGCACTGGTCACATTAACCATTCCAACCCCTTAAGACAAGTCTCCTCCTTAGTCTGCCTTTCTATTCTCATGCTCATGCTTTGGTCATTTGTGTTTTAATCTCTTGGTAAAGTGTGTTAATTCTCACCTGGAGATCGCCAAATTCCTGTGACTGTGCAGATGGAACCGACGATAAAAGTGCCCGGAATCCACTGTCCCCAGGAAAAGTCTGCCCAAGGCACATGTGCCATGCTTCATAAACATGTTGTACTTTTATTCCAGATAACCGTGATAGTACAACACAGCACTGCAGGAGACAGACGCAGAGGTTCAGGCAGGACAGCAAGTGTCCCAGCAGAGTTCATGGGATTCATGAAGTCCACTATCCCATCTTGGACTCTTCTCTCATAGTATCTGTGTCCTCTTTCTACCTGCCTACTTATTATTGCTATGCCTACTCAATCTGTTTCAGAGATTTCGCACCAACAGATCTGTGGCAGTGTCACAGGCAATGGCCAAAGACCATGTTAGTAGGGCTCTCCTCTGGTTCAGCCGAACCTTAACATGTAGGCCCCTACTCTGCAGAAAGTGGTTCAGGAAGAGATGCATTGCCCATTGCCCTTATCGAACAATACGGTCTGGAATGAAGGAATCCAACTGCCGCCATCCTTTTCAGAGATTCTCTAACCTCCACCCAGCACAGCTGCCGCTGGAGACTCACGACATAGCTCTGCTACTGATGCAGCCCTGCTCCCTGTGCTTCCCCAAGCCTCGTTCTTTGGCCACCATCACTGCCTGTGCTCTCTCAAGCCTTGTTCTGGGCTGGGAGCCACAGCACCTTTCACTGAGCTCCTCTCCCCATGACTTACAAAAGACCCCATGGCCTGTACAGAGTGGCTGGTCTGCTCTCAGTGCCAGCATGGACCCTGTCAGGTTTGCTCTGCAATAAACTTGTCCTGTGTAGTTCGGACCTATTCTTTTCCTTTCTCCTAACAGGCATAATTTGGGGTGATGGTGTTTTTGCACTCATGCTCTATGTGTTGGTTGGTTGAGAGGAGCATGGTTGGATTTTCATCAGTGGTAGACTAAAGGCAAACATCTGGATTTTCAATAAGGACGGCCTGATATCTAGTGAGCCTTTCTTCAGTCGCCCACAAATGTACCTTGAGTTCTGACAGAGCCTGAACTTGATGTGGGGTTAGAACTAACACTTTTGTCTTAAAATTATCTTAGAAGCTCCCTGGACTAAGAGCATTGTACAGGTATCACTCATAGAAATAGAGGCAAGGTCTGTTCTACTCCACCCATTTGCTTGGAAACGTAGGCAACTGGCCGGTTTTCCTGGTGTAGAGGATGAGTTACATCTTCTGTGGCTACTCCCTGTCCCTCAGCTGGAAGAGAGAGAAAGGCTTAGTTAGATCTGGTATTCCTAATCCTGAGCCTACATCAAGGCCGGTTTCAAGGTTTTAGAAGCCTCTCGAGCATCTGCAGTCCATTTTAGGGGCTCAGTTTCTGGCCCTCATATAGTTGGCCTCATATACTGGTTTGACTAACACTCCAAAATGGGGTATCCCTGTGCAGCAGACGCCTGCCATTGCCAAGAAATCCCTCAGTTGCTGTTTGGGCTTTGGAGGACACAGACAACAGACTGCCTCTGTTCTCCTGAGGACAGTTGTCTTTGTCATACCCCAGTTTGTCGCCTTTTGTTGAGAAATCTGGGCCTTGTGTTGGGACACCCACCTTATAACCCTGTTTTTCTAGAAAATTGAGAGTCTTTACAGTGCTCTTATCAGATAGCTCCTTGGGGGGGGTTACAAATGAGGAGGTCATCAATATACTGCAATCAGCCTCCACTTTTGAAGTTGAGGTCTCTCAGGACTTGAGCTAAAGCCCTTTCAAACAGTTGGGGGCTTTCCCTAAAGCCCTGGGGCAAGATAGTTCTGGTGTAATTTGTTATACCAGATAGTTCTGTTGTTGGCAAAGTCCTGTTTGGGGATTCTCCCATTCAAATGTGAACAAATTTGGGGTAGTTAGGTTAGGAAAGAAGGCACCTTTGAGATGAAGGACAGAGAGCCATTTAGTGTTTCCTGGGATCTGTGCTGAAAGGGTGCATGAGTCTATTATTGATGGGTGAGTAGGTCCCACTGCCTCCCTGATGGCTGAGATCTTATATGAGGAGAGCTTGGCTCCTGGTAAGATGGGTGCATTGCACAGGGACTGGCATGGCACCAGTGACACTGTAGCTCAAAACTTACCAATAATGGGTGTTAATCCACCTAGCTTCTTTCATACTAAGGGTATACTGTCTCCTGTGAGGAGAGTATGGTCCTGCAGCTGAATGACTACAGGAATGGCTTTGACAGCCCTCCCCAGGCACTGTAACACCATGCTTGACAATCTACTCCTGGAAGAGACAATGGGCTCTACGGGTCAGGCTGGCCGGGCTCCCAGCAACTAGGAGCTTGGAGTGTCACAGTGGCCCTGAGAGGAGTGGCCTTGAGGTGGCACCAGACTTTCAGATGGTGCCATCCACACACAGGGTAGCACGTAGGGTGGGCCTTCCCAGTATCTGCATTCAGAATTATGCTAGAGCAGCCAATGGACTAATTTAGTAAATCACATGCCTTAATACCAGCATCACACACCCTAAATCCAGACACCTCCCCAAACTCCCACCTGTGAGTACCTGAGGCGTTGGGAGGACAACTAGACACAGCTTTAACACTGGTGTGGTTGCTATGGCTACCAATTGCTGTTCTGCAAACCCTTTTGCTATGCAATGTTCTGTTCACAGGTGGCAGGGACCTGGGCGGGGAACCAGTCTGCTAAGCACCTTCCCTAGCTAGGTACCTGGTGCCTTGCCTCCTGTTGTGGTGTCATTTTGCTGTGAGGTTAGTTGCAGGTGTTCTTCGAGGACCTATTCTTTTAGGGCTGTTTGGATGACATCTGGCAATGTGGTTCCCACATAGATTTTCACGATCCAGGTGTGTAAGCATCAGGGTTGTTTTGCACAGGAAATGCAGTGGCTGGGGATGTAGCTCAGTGGTGCAGTGCAGTGCCTGCCTGGCAAATGCAAGAACCTAAGATGGATTCCCAGTAGTAAAAACAAACAAAGGAAGTCCAGACTTCTTCACCTGTCTTTTTTGAACACCTCGATACAGTATCACTATAACCAACTGGCCACCTTCTCTCATGAGGCAGCTAACAGTTGGCTGCTCCGAATGCAGTTGGCCTGGCACTGCCTGGGCAGCCCAGGACCTCACGTGGAGGCAGAAGCAGGTGGAGCAGCCATTGTTCCTTCTCCTGGTGCTTTCTAAGGTTGTCTGGTACGAGTATGGTTGGCATAGGGAGGGCACAGCCCAGTGTTCCTATTCTGCACACCTCCCAGATCTGTGTGACAGTTTTCTCTCAGCTGCTTACTGCTCCACCTCAGTTTCCAAAGGTCAAAGACTTCTGAGTACCTTGCAGGTACTGAAAGAAACTGGTGCCTGCCAAGCATCACTCTGCACACTGACAGAGCTCGATGAGAGGTCTTTATTAAAAGTCGCTCTGCAAAAGGAGTGGGAAAGGGGTTTGGTTATATAATGGGTGACTAGTGCAGGTAGGTTAGGGATCATGTAGGCCCAATGGGCAGCCACTCACGGGCCACTTTTAGACATTAATTTTATATGGACAAGCCTTGTTAGCGCACCGGTTTTATGACCAGTGATGCATGAGGTAGGAAGTGAAACTTTAAGGTGAAGAAGGAAGTTATTTATTAGAATGGCGGCAGCCATTCCAAGGCACTTATCTTACAGGTACCATGCTGAGGTTGGCAGGGTGCAGTCTTGGTAGAAATGTGGAAGCTGCTATCACATGTGTGAGAGGGTTTGTCTTTCTTCGCTACTCTCAGTTCATTTGAAGAATAGAAACCCTGTGGGACAACCCCAGTCACTTGGCATGAGGAGACAGAGCAGCACAGTCTGTGTCTAAGCATGGCGGGCAGCTCCCTGGGTAGGGCAGACCAGGGGCAGAGGCAGAAGACTGGGCTGGGGCTGAGACTGTGATTCTGGTTGGGCTGTGGTGAGAGCCACAGGGAGAAGAGGCCCCTGGCTGTGACTGAATAGAAAATTGTTCCTTTTCTTTCTTTTTTTTGTAATGAATTTTGGACAGTTTTTTATACCATTTCATTGGTTTTTTTTGAAAATCTAAGTGGCCTTGTCTTCCAATGTTGATGGCATTCCGTGTCTCTGCATTGAACTTACACATTCGTGTAAGGGAAGACTGTGTGTACTGAGCAAGTTCAGCTAGGTGTAAATACATACTATTGTAATTATTTTGCAGTCTGATAAATAGATAAACTCAGTTAAAATTACCCTGTTTTGGGGGTACTGGGGGTGGAACTCTAGACCCTGTGCTTGTGAGGCAGGCCATGGCACCACTGAGCTAAATCCCCAGCCCTCGGTTAAAATTTTTACAAACACACTGATTTGTAACAAATTGTTACATATTAATACTGAACTTTTCAATAGAAATTGACTTTTATTGCAAAAAATTGTTACTGATGCTAGTAAATACTAATTATTTTCTGGAATAATGACAAAACTTGGTGACCTGGGAGACCAACTCTTTGCAGGAAGCCAAGGTCTCCTCAAAGGGCTGAGGTCTAGGAGTAGAGCTCTGCAGCACCCGGGCAAGGCATACGAGTTTCTGAGGCAGCCGTGCCTTTCTCTCGAGGGTACATTTTGTGGCTCTTTAATGATCACATCTAAACTGTGATCCATTGTGGTTATTACTTCAGCTATTTATGTTAAACCATTGGCTTTACTGACCTAGTATGGTGTGAGTGGCGTTTGGGGCCAGATCAACAATGCGCCATTTACTGTGGTCATTCATCCCTCAGTTGTTAACTGTTAGAACACTGAATAAATGCATAGCGGCACCTCCAAAATAAGCTCTCGGCATAGTATTTTGAGTTAATGGAAATTGAGAGCTAGCTAACACAATCTCTACATCATCCACGCCTTTATAAAAATATAAATTTTCTCATTACAAAGAAAATTTACACTTAAAAAGGAATTCTTCCTTGGCGAAAGTATCTGAACAGAAAGAGCTGCTCAAACGCAAATTGTATCACCTGACAGCTTTTCTACCTGCATAAGACAACCAGGCACCTCTGCTCTCTAGCTCTCCCCTCAGCCCTCAACGTCCAGGACCTCACTCTCCTTTCTGGAACTTAGGGTGTCCCGATTCCAGGAATCTCATTTCCACGGGGCTCAAATCACTCACATATATAGCCAAACTTCGTTTTCCTGTTAATCTGTCCTATGTCAACATAATTCACACAGTAGAACAAGAACGTGAAACTGGCACTCCCTTTGTTTTTTCAACCACACTTTTTTTTTCAGCTTTAATTGAGTTTATTGGTACATTTTAGGGATACAGTACAGTTACATTCATCGTTGGGATCTTGTACCTCTACATGACAAGTCTTGGTTCTCATTTTATCCCCTTGTCCCTGCCCTCCATTCACCCCCTCCTCCCCTCCCCATCTACAACCACATTATTACACTTTGGTTTTTTTTTACAATTTAAGGATTTGTCTCCTACATTTGCAAACTCATTGTGAAGAGTACAAACGAAAGCGAGGAAACACTAGTATTAAAAGAACTACAGTCAATGTGACCTTAAGTAATGAAGGGGGTTGCCCAGGCCGTCCGGGTCAGCCCTTCTAGGCGGGCTCTGTCCCTCGCCAGCACAACTGGATCTCCGGCGTGACCTCAGGTTCTCTTCTCTCTACTTCCCGAGCCGAGAGTACCTCTCTTCGCGTGCGAGGGCGATCGTTTAAAGCCCTGCAA